TATAATATAATAAATATAAATTTTTTCGCATACAATGGAGGTTTCGTCAAAGGGATACAAAGTGAAAGCTTTTGTTAACGAAGGTTGCTGCTGATCGTGACCGTGAATATTTCGTGTCCTGAATGCCGAGGAGGCGAGTTAAAGAGGAAACGAGTAACGAATACAAGGAATTAACGAATTACGCATTGTTCGACGCGGCTGAATGGAAAAACAAAGCTGGACCGTCAATGGAAACATAATGAAAAAAGGAAAAGTGTGCCGTGACACGGAATTTTCAACGGTACGAATGCATACAGCGTATCGCAGAGGATGTGAAACTGCGTCGACGTAAAAGCACGACAAGGACGATGATTATTTTCAAGCCTACTCACACCAGAGTATATTTATTCATGACTGTGGGATATGTGGTTAATTAGTCAGGTTGATTTGCAGTATTGCGCAACCTTTGACGCATTAACATCGTTCACTGCCACAGTGAAAATTGCCCGTGTACATATATATATATATATTGTACGAACAATTATCAAGGATACGATTATCTAATTTCTCAATTTGCCACTTTACGTTGCTAAAAATTTTCATTCCCCTTCCTTTTTCCTTCAGTCGTTCAATTATGTTACATTTGCAATGCCAATCAACCAATTAACGTTGCATACAAAATTTTCCTTTCAATTTGAACTTGACAATTCCTGTAAGAATCGTTCAATATCATTGGAATTCGTTTATATAATAGAAGAGCAACTAATTAGTAATCATTAGCTATCGCTTAATAACAGAGAATACCTTTGCAATTAATCATGCAACACATTTCAATTCCAATCATCAGCAGAGTCAGCATTCAGGTGTCACTCAGCTGCACGGTACAGACAATGATGACTGTTGTTTGCATTATTTGCACGTGCCAATTTGAAAGAAGAATCCGCTGATGCACCTGTGGACACAGAAGACTCGAAACAAGAAGCAAGATCGTGACGATTTGGCAAAGGATCCGCGTGTTCAATCCGCGGAGGACGGTATCCGTTGAGAAGCAGGTGCGACGGCAAAATCTAGAGAGAATTTGCAACCTGGTTTGCGGTTTCCATTTCTCGAAGGTTACCGTCGTGCAGTGTTTAAAACGTAGGCAGACATTGAGAAACGCGTCGAAAGGAAAATAACGATGATGTTTCGCGTCCACGTTCCCGTCTACATTCTGCGAACGTTTCAGAAGATGACGATAATGTTTCAAGTCCTGTCGAGGAAGCTAACGATCCTCCGTGACATCGATATCGAAAATATTTCGTTACGCGTTTTAAAGACACCGTTAGTCGAGATAGAAACTTGCTCGTGCGTTGCCTAATTAAATAAAACTCGATTGTGTAGGGTGTCAATTATGAGCCAACATTCCTGCACGTCCATTAAGAGTTTCTGGCCGCTGAAAATGGAGTAACATCTACAGGATAACTGTGATCCGATTCGCACCGGCAATATTAATAAACTGCCAATTAGCATAAATCTGTAATTCCGGCTCTCCTCATTAGTCTACTTCTAATTCCTTCTAAGGTAACACGATACACCGTCGTTATTGAAGATCTGCGATTTCCTCTTCTCTGAACAAAGTACGGAGAGCCACAAGTCTGAAATATAATTTTTGATATAACACGAGAATCATCTTAGCTTCTAGCTGCTAAGTGTGCATCACAGACTTTACATATTCATGTATCAAAATAAAATAAGAAAATAAATTACTTAACGATCAGTACATAATATCTTGGAAAAATAACAGCTACAAAAACATCTTCAGCCAAAAGTGATGTTAATTCGTGATACACAGAAGAGCATTCAGTCAGTAAAGAATTCATCTTGGAGAATGGAAGAATTCTGTTCAGTCTGGTTTAAATTTAAATAATTATCAATAACAATGATGTAAGTTAGAAACAGGGTAGCTGTGGGTCGTACGGACGATGACAAGCGTGCTATAACTGTTGACTCACGATTGTATGACGTATAACGTAATGTTATAACAGTAATAAAGTACGTGTGCACTGGCAGTATATCTGTAATAGGTGTCGGTCATTTCGACATCACGGTCATCCAGATGCTTCCAGACGTCTATACGCGATCATTCTTATTCATTGTTTTCCATCCATTATCGTTGACGTTATTCGGTGGCGTTGCTAAGGGTGTTCAACATGCTCCTCGCGTTTCTGCAATTATATAATAGAAACGTTTCACTCGGTATCCGATTCATTAAAAAAAAAAAAAAAAAACGATCCTCGCAATAACGCTATCGATCAGTTATTGCAACCTCGTCGAGGACGATTTCACAATCACAGAATTGAATTACGCCCACGTTAAATTATTGTTTTTCATATTCCATTGATGTCGAGCGAAAGTTTCATATTCGAGAAAATATTATTCATACCCGCGTCGCTATTTTCAGCAGGGTGTTTATTATGAATAAACGCGACTTCATGGTCAGTGATCAACAGCTATCTGGTTTTTATCATCGATTCATCCTGCCTTTCAGCAGAACTAATTTCTTCTCGTCTATCTCTAGTTTATCTGAAACATTATTATAGTAAGTTGCGGTTGTATTTGAAAGTGGAATGAAAATAAAAGTATATTAATTACTGTGGTATACGATACCTCCCACGGTTCTCGCACGTGTTAAAGAATTCCTTCCCCTTGCTGAATTTTTACAGATACTTGAATCACTGCCAAAAGATCGTTCTACTCCTTTCACGACAGCCTGTAGATTTGTATTCAAAAATACAAGCCGCGTCGATACAACGTTTTTAGAAGCCGTCGATCGAACATAACAGGATAGGACTATTTTTGAGAATTGCATCAAGCTGCGGAGGTGCTCGCAAAAATGAAGCATGACGAAAGCGAAATCCGCTTGCTCATCGCGCTTCCAATTCGTTTCCTCGACATCACTGTTCGCATTTTCACGATGGGTCCTGTAATAATTTTCTTCTTCAAAGACTGCTTATTTAATCCAGGATAGATACGTTCTCTATTTTTCAGGAACTTTTGATCGTCGATCATTTCAATAATTATCCTCTTTATACGATAACGATTGCAGAATCTGGTACGGTCAAAGTTTATCCTCGACAAAATACACAGGCATATTCTGTAGATAAAAGTATGAAAAAAGAATGTTATATAAAGCGAATGTCTTACAAATTTCCTGTACTCTCAGATAACCATATCTTACACTTCACAATTTTATATGAGAAAATGTAAGAAAAAAGTTTGCAGGGTACAGAAGAAATAAGTATAAAGATAGTACAATATTTTTTCCTTATTCATGTCTACTGTATGTATGTATCTTGGAAAGATTAATCATACTCTGAATAATAAATTATTCTGCAAGAACGTTACAAATTCCAGAAAGTATGATGGTAACGGAGCCGCAAACCGCATGATGAATATCGGTTGCAGCTGTCATCCAGTGCATTCATTGATCCATTTCCCTTGGTGGAGATCAATGGACCACGAGGCAAGGAAACCGATCGGCACGCGGTCTTTTGAACCAGTCAGCCTCGACGTAACATTCAAACGGTGGCCCCTATCGCTGTCAAACGCCTGCTCTGAAATACAAATACAACATCAATGATCTCATATCTACTTATTCGAATAATCAGATTAGCTCAATTTATTCGAACGAGTAAGTTTTGATCGTTCTGCCAAAGAATCATCGAGCTTTCGTTATCCAAACAGTCTCGCTTTCAGATAAATGGACTTTCATTGTAGAGAAGAACGTTTTAAAGTAAGCCAGAGTAGAGCGTGACCTAGTTTGGCTCATAAACAATTGTAAGTTTCATTAAACGCGTTCTTCGACACAACGTGTCACCCTATCATCCAACGTTCTCCGTTCAACGGTACGGACGAAAACAGGTCTAACGAAATTCTGGACAACGCAATTGCAGGCCAAGCGATGCGAAGAAGCGACGCGACGGTTGAATCGATTATTCGGGATCATCTCTACCCAAGGGGGAAGATAAAGCAACACGTAACAGCCTTTTCTAAGCTCACCCCTTTTCATCGTTACCCTTTCAAACGGGCCAGGCCTCGGTACATACATCGTTTATCCGTTTCAAGCTCAACGTCTCTCGTTTTCAACTAACAATGCGCGTACGAGGAAAAAACCGTAGGATTCTACGAACAGCATTAACTTAATCACCGGTTGAAAATTGCTCGAGAATCACGGGACAATTCTGTGCCTATTTAAGGATGATATTCTCTGATACGACACGGGAGAAACGTATTCTCGTACGATCATATTCTCGAGAAGCAGTTTCTCAGAAACGAACGATCTACTTACGTTTTAATTACACATACCGGACAAAGATTATTACTCTTAATCTCGTACTGTGAACATTACATCGTGCGTCGTTACTCGTATCGTGAAAAAAAAATACAGATCCATAGAATTGAAATTAATTTCCATACATGAAATGCAAATGAAATCGCGAACGTGCGCAGAAAACAAATCGTTCGATCGTATATCAAAAAAATTCCTATTCTTTTAATGCGACTCGAGTAATGGTTCAAGATCAACTTATTTCCGATCAATGTAAGAAATATAGTCCTTCGGAAAATAATAGTATAAAAGTAAAAGAATAAGAACTTCTTTTAATTCTTCTAATTTTATCAGTAATTACAAGGTTGCAAACTTTTATTTTTAAAACAAACGAAAATTAAATTTCGTCTCGTTTATGCTAATGACGGAAGAACGCGTTTCTCGTATGCAAATGAGTACGTGACAAATATCGGTCAGAGCGATAAAAGTTTGCATCGATGAACAGTGATTTGAGCAAGAATGTTAATTTGCATTTCCACGATGCATCATCGTCGCATCGCGCAACTAGCTAAGTAGCCGAGTTACGTTTACGATGGTGGGGAGACACTTGGGTGTTCCTATCCACGTACCTACGTATTCGTTTGCAACCCCGTACATACACGCGTCCGAACCGTGCACGTGCACGGAGGAACGTGGTGTGTAAATACCAGCGGAGCACGGTGGGGGTACGACGCCTCTCTAAGCGACGCTCCGCGTCTTCGTCAGTCAAATCGCGATCGTCTCAGCGTGATGGGCCGCCGTTGAGATCCGCTAGCAAGACGCCGCGGCAAAGTCGTTGGTGACGGGTGTTGAAGAACGGTGTAGTTGAGAAAAAGCAGGCCAAGCGAAAAACACAGTTGGCACGGTCGAATATTTCGTGTTACGACGGTTCTCCCCGACGAATAGATACTCTCTTCGTGGTTGTCTTCCGGATTTTCGGCGACACTTGCCAGGCTAAACGAACAATCTTACTTCCGTATATCAGCTTTCAACTGGATCCTCCACGACGGGTCTTCGTCTCTTCCTGTCGCGTCTACAGACAACACAATAAGTTAGACTAAGAATAAGTGATAAATCGTAAGAAAGCATAACAAGCAGTGTATACTATCCTCAAGATGAAGACTTTGACGCTTCTGCTGATCCTGGTCGCTGCGACGACCTGTCACGAGCCCTTTCAGGTGATCTTTCAATGGAACACCACAGACGTGATCTGGCCAACGGAAGAGGAACAACAATTCGCTATCGAGCATGACGATTACATTCCAGCCAACAACTACATATCTGGTATCAAGTTCTGGAAGGGTAAAATGTACCTGACGATACCCAGATGGAAGGGAGGTGTACCTGTGACTCTAGGTGTTACCTCGGCGACACCGGTGAACCGAAACACAGCTCCCAAGTTGGAAGCTTTTCCTAATTGGGAGATGCAGAAAGTAGGAGACTGCACTGCCTTCCAGTTTGTCCAGAGCATGGAGATCGACCCTCTGGGACGCATGTGGGTTCTCGACTCTGGAAAGATATCACCTTTGTCAGTCGAGACGAAAAGCAACTGTCCACCGAGGCTGGTGATCCTCGATCTAGAAAAGGACGGTCAAGTCCTCCGAACGTACGTGTTCCCTACGCACGTGGCTCGCCATGGTACCGCTTACCTAAACGACATCGTTCTGGACCACGAGGACGGTGGTATGGCGTACATAACCGACAGTGATCGCGAGGATCCAGGCATCATCGCTTACTCCTTAAGGAACAACACCTCCTGGAAGGTCAGACACGATTCGATGAAGGCTAAGCCGGAGGCTGTTAGATTCATGATCTCCAAGACACCGATCAATTTAGCGATACCCGTGGATGGAATCGCTCTCTCTCCCGCAAGCGACGCTGACAGACAGGTGTATTATTCACCGCTCTCTTCCTTCCACTTGTATTCCATACCAACGTCGGTTCTTAAGGCTAACATAAGCAACGTGGACGGCGACGTGAGGGAGCTGGGAAGGAAGAACTCTCAAACGGACGGTATGATGATGTCAGCGAAAGGAGTGCTGTACTTTGGTCTATTAGCTGACGATGCAGTGGCCATGTGGGACACGAAACAGTCTAACTCGTTCACCACCGGACAGAGAGTGATCTCCAGGGATCACGAGAGAATGCAGTGGCCTGATACGTTCGCTTTCGACGAGGATGGTAACTTTTACTGTGTTACCAATTCGTTTCAAAACGTTCTGAACGATCGAGTGAACGTAAACGTGCCCAACTATCGGGTGGTCAGAGCGAGAACCGGGGTGAAGAGTTATCAGTATTTGGAGGACGGAAGCGCACCGGAGCAGCCGGAGATACCCACTTCAATAGCTAACAGGATTAGCCTCGCTGTGGCTACCGGATTAACCATTCTGTTGGCTTACGCCGTACAGTAACGTCTTTCTCCCTCTTCGTTCTCTTTTTCCTTCGTACAGATAGACCGTGTTCGGACGTACACGCTCGGGTATACCAAAGACGTTTCGCTCGTCTCAACAGGGACGTTCGTCTTATACTTCCAGTTAGATAACGCACCATCAAATCAACCGTCCGGTGCTTCTGCTGGCCTTGAACGTGTAGACCACGTTCCGCATCGAAGCTTGCTGTCGAAGACAGTATATCTGAAAGACATTGAGACTACTCGTTACTGTTCTTTGTCCAAAATTATTTGGTCGTTCGAGGACGTTAAAGAGTTCATTGTACCATACTTTATTACCGATGTTCATTATATGTATGTTATCGTATACTTCGTAATTATGGTGGTTTATTGATTTTCGTCAGCTATCTTCATTCCTTTACACTTTCGTGAGAAATAATTCCGATGCAAAACGTTTCTCGATGTCTTCGAGTCAGCTTGAAAAAAAAAAAAAGAAAAAATTATGATACTTTCATAGAGAGTGAAACTTTCGCCGCGACATCGTAGCGTTCGCACTTAATTGACCTCGAATTAACATCACCAATGGAGACTATTAAATCTGCCAGTCAAATTAAGACGCTTCCAGCCCGATTGCACGGCTGGAAGGGAAACTGAACGAGAAGGAGGGAAAAATCGACTGTTTTCGTAATTCAGGCTGCCCCGTCGAGAGGGTTGAAAGGAAGATGGAACGTTCGTCACAATCGAGACGAAAGCCATTAACGATGAAAGCATCGAATATCGAGGAATTCCTTTTTCCTGCAGGCAGAAAAAAAAGATGATAAGAGAGTGACATATTATCGATGAACGTGAATTTAACGGGGTGATAGTTCAACGGCGACGTACGATAGAGCATTGATAATAAATGACCTTTTCGTTATATTTCTAATCCGAGATTTATCCTCTATAACGTGGTGCTGACAACATTCCATTTAAAAATGCAATTCACGCAATGCGCATTCTAGCTTTTGTCAAGAAACCATAAGTAAATGTAATATACAGTACGAATGGACAGCAAAGGGTTAACATATCAACATTTTCATGTTCTTTGAGCGTAAATTCTGATGACAAAACTACTCGATCTTCTCGTTGCGACACGTACAATAGGTTACAGAGGATTCTTTTTCAGATCCAGCCATTTATTATCAACCCGTTACCATATTAGTATCGTTGCGGCGATAATTGCCAACAATTACACCTGTTACTTCTATTTCTGACCCGAGCGCTTTAGCCTGCAACGATATCATAGGTCCGTGAGTCTCGATGAAATGGTATTTGTTGTACAATCTACCAGGGAGAAGGGAGAAAGACGAAGATGAATCTAGTACCTTAGGTCTCGTCGCCTTACAAACTCGAACTGTGAATACGTATACTATATATAATAATATATAAAATGTATGTATCTATGTGTGTACAAATTAGCGTATACGTACACTACACATGTACGAATAGCTTTAATGCATATGGCCTTATTCGCGACGATGAATTGAAATTGTATACCACGTTCCGTTGGAAAACGCCGCGTTATGAGTCATTTGCCTTGGCGAACGCTACAACAACTTTCCGCCACCATTTCGCGGCAATTATTGCCAGCGATTATTATTCCCTTTCGAGCTGGATCGATCCGGAATCCGTTCGCCACGATTCATCCAGCGGAAACCTATTTCCGATTCCTTCTCTGTAGAACGTCAACTTTGTCGCTCTCCTCCCTGTAATTCAATTTCTCTAAACAGTATCCCTCTATACACGACGCGCAGGCGTTACCGATTACAAGTCTAAGACCGTGTACAAGTTAATTCTGTAATTGAATTTCCATGAAGTTCCCACTAGGACGGTCTTAAGCTTCTACTCGGTAATGCGACCACCGTTCTTTGAGCCAATAAACAGATACAATACAGACAGCGAGCACGTGGTTCCTGGTATAACGTACAGTCCAGGGTGAAATGAACATTGAACATTGAAATGAAAAATAATCGTTTCTGCGTTTAATTGAAAACTGTTACTCGTTGGGAGTCAATTGTTCCAAGAGGGGAAAACTCGAAGACGGTTCGGCCAAGGAGGCATCGAGGCAATCTCGCTTTCAGCCTCTCTTCCCACAATTGTCTCCTCTTTCAGCACGCAGCGTCCCAGTTTTGCGGCGAAGTGAGGCGCACGCACATTAATACGCGCCACAAACGGAGCCGGGGCTTAGCCCTGAACCGCGAGTCAACGAACGCCCAGGGAGAGGCTCGGAAGATTACAAAACTTCTCGGAGAACGAGCCGTGCACCTGAGATTAACAACTGAAATCTAGGAGTCAGTGTGTAACACCGTGTATACCGCGTTCTCTCTTCAACTACGCCTACCTTACACAGTTTCTCGGTCAATGAATGGAGAACGGAGTCGGAGGAGCGTACGGTTTGCTGATTGTGCTTTTGGATCTTCCAGTTCAACTTAAACTTCGATTAGTTTCTTTACTCGGATTGCACCTATTGATTCGCTGGCTCGGAGTTTCAGGAAACTTCTACTCGTGAATTCTGCCTTCTAATTCTTGAATGATCCTGCAAAGATAGAGATAAGAATTAGATGATTGCAGAATTAACTTGGATCACAGATTTATCTTCGGTGTTGTATTACAGTGAAATTATTAATAGAGATTAAGAAAAATACGGATTGAATACATATATAGAATGAGTCATAAATTGGATGTAAAAATGCGAACGCATAGCCTTCGATACGAGACTCGCGGCGGACAATTGTGTTTATAACAAATGATGTCATCGGACTATGAAAAGAATATTAAACGTTTTTGACTCATACACGAAGAGTTCGATGTTTAACGTTGTTCAAGCTGGTTGCTATTCGCACGTTGGATAATTTAAACGCTGAACGAAAGTTCAGGCAGACTGGTCGATCGAAATAAATTATCCAGGTAACAGTACGTTTAAATGATAAAATATTCAGACACCGAAGGTTCTGTTTTATTAAATAAGGCTAGAAAAAGAAAATCTTTAAAAATGTTCGACCAGTCTTCCAGAATTCTAGTCTAGAGCAGCTATCGCGGCGCTTTTTGACAATGGAAACGTCTATGAATGTGCAGAGCAGTACAATAGGCCTGTAAGTAGTGCTTTCTATTACGCGAGAGCCTCTGATTGCGTTTGGTTTCGTCGAGGGTTTCGCTCGGTTGAGCCCGATTACAGTTGATTTTCAGGCTGGAACGCTTCACGCGCGAACCTAGAATCGTTTCCTGTTTATACTGTTCGTTTAATTCTATATGGAAATATGCCGTGTCAGATGATAATTGGTATAAATTGATTTCCTTGTTAGCGACGCTATTTTTTTTTTTCTTCAGCAACTGTGCTCGATCAGCTGATTCTTGCAAGGTGAAGCGAAACTGAACTCAACGCAAGTTAATTATATTATTTCGAGGTCGTTTTACGTACCAACAGATTTGTACATGTACTAAGAGGATTAATATATTTTTTTTTGTAGTCGTAACTCGGCCAGAGTGTCCTGTAACAAATGAAGCAAGTTCAAAACGATTCTATAACATCAGTTGGAAAGTGAAAAATAAAATATACTTTTTAAATTCATTATTTTAAAAAAAAATTGAATTTGAACGTTTTTTTCTTTTCACTTCTTCGCAAACAATCAATTAGTTTATAATGTTTTTTACGAGACACCCTGTGTAGCGTAGGGGTACGCGAGAAAATTTGATATAATCGTATATCGTAGTCGTTTACAAGTTATTACATTGTGTATTAGATTATAATGTCGCTATCCTATAGTGTCTACGTCAATTATATCCTATTAATAAAGTGATAGATGTTAGCAGTCCTTGAATTTCTTATTTGATCGTCACTCTAAACAATTCTTGATTACACGTTGCATAACTGCATCATCAACGATTCCTACTTCGTTAAGACGTCTCACCGGATCTTTGTCAGCGCTTTTTTAATAGAATTTGCAAACCTTATTTTTAGGACGTTACGTTTGAATCGAGTTCTATGCGCGTCGGTAATTCAGATGATTCTGAATATGTTGTAACAGACGACATACAGGATGGGATCCTTAAAGTAATACCCAAAGTTTTAGGAAATATAAAGGATTAATTGGCGAATAAAAAGGAAGAAAAAGTAATCACCTTATAAGAGTTTTTGTCGCAGAATTTTAAATGCCGACACCACCTGTATTTTACGCCAACAGCGGAGATTTTAGGAACTATATCAAACAAGAGGTTGGTCAGATAGAAAATGCGGGAAATCGACTTCGCAAATGAGGCTATGTACGGGGAGGTATTGTTCCTATGCATGATCAATCCTTGAATCCTAAAATACAATAACAAGTAAACATGGGGAATGTAGGATAACAGGAAATTATAAAAAATTATTTATTAATTTCCAGTAATCTAGTATGTACATACATGAAACATGTTGAACTTGTTATAAATATTTAACACTTACTTGAAGGGGGAGAGGGATGAACAAGGACGTTCACAGTTTCTATACCTATAGTACTTATACTAAAAATCAAGAATAAACCATTACACTAAATGTAAATATAGATGCTTTGTACTTAAGTTAATGAAAGTTTCAATACCATTTAGCAATCTGCTGTTGGTTTTTGAAGTGTAAACGATTTAAAATTAGGTCTTCGTACTTCGGTGCGAATGCTTCAAATAGACAAAATGGCTGATCGGACATCTGACGGCGTATAGGGAAACCAATAACGAAAAAAATCACAAAATAAGCGATATTAGCGTTTCATTAATGCATACAGAACATTCTACAATCATAATATAATTCAAATTATAACATCGCATTTTATTTAAATTTATAATTAAAGAAAATTGCATTTCTTTGAAAGTACCGCCATGAATTAAGAAACGCTATAGCCATCTAGCGATAGATCACAGATGTTAATGGATTTAAATTTAAAAAATGATAACACGGGAATACATAGTCGAAAAAATAAAAATATACCTAGTCGAACAGGAAATTTATACAGTTTTACACTTTGGATCTGGCGTTACTGAACTTCCAATATCTTCGATATCCACCATGCTGCAAAAACATAGAATTCAAATGTCAAATATTACAAAATTAAAGTGCAATAACAAACACTGTAATATGCACACTTTTAATTAAACTTTTAATAACATAGTTTGTTAATGTGTAAAAGACATTTCAAAAGCAGATTACGTATACATATATTTTATTGCATTGAATAATACAATATCATGTATTCCTTTTGAAATGAAAATTTATTGAAATTTTCTATGTAACTGAATTAAAATTTAACAAACTTTCATCATTTTTATCTAAAAATCAAAATGATGTTATCAAAAATATGAAACGACTTCTTTCAACAAACATTAATATTAGTTTTTGTAAAATCTATTTGTAATAATCCGTATTTTTGAATACAATAATTTCTTCTAAAAAGCATGCAAGAATATAATTTATCTTGAGATATATAAATGTCATCAATACTTTTGTTTGATTACATTTTTCTCTATATTTTGATGACAATAAACAACGTAATTGTTATTAGCTACCTAAACTGAAAATCTCAAAATAATAAACATACCATATTCTACACACATCTTCAGAAAATTAAACACGTATTATGAATTGATAACTATGTATGCAGTACAAAAATGAATAATGTATTGTGAAATAAATTTACAAAATTACCTCAGAATAAATGCTGACATATTGTATCTTAACTAAAATGACATTAATATTTACTTCCTCTGTTTTAATGAATGTATGCACCACCAGTTGCATTCCTGTCCCTCGACAACAGTCATACAGAAAGATCACGAAAGAGAGCAATGAATGTCGCTACTTATACAAATTGTGTACTGTAGCGTAGTGTCATTTAATATTCTAACAACGAATCTTCTTTCAATGAACTTCAAGCATGCAATACAAACATACAATTAACACAAAAGTTATTCTTGTTTTTTGTTACAATGTTACATATCTAAAGAAATATTATTTAAAAACGTTCTTTCTACTTTTCTAGAGTCAATATTTTACACAACATTTAAACTAAATTATATATTTAAAATGTTCAAATAACGTTTTGAAATAATTTTTCCGAGGTATAGATATGTTTATAATATTTAAGAATTACATTTGTCCCATGTTGATGTTTGCATGACCTATTTTCATGACATATAAACGTAGTTTAACAAGTAATGAAAATTAAAAGTGTGCAATATATTTTAAATGGTATTGTTCAACTCAAGACGTAGCCTTTTACTACGAACTGTGCCACCATCATCTTCAGAGTCACCATTAGCAGATAAAAAATCTCTTTTTCTGACAGGATTCTGAAAAATAACATTAATCAGTAATATATAGAATATAAAATATACAAGCAAGATAGTTCTTATAATTATATATAAACAGTCCATACATTTATATCCCAGTGTTGGTGGAGGTACCTTAACAATATGGTGGTTTTTTCTGTAACTATAACTAAAAATAAAAATTAAATTTGTAGTTAGTTACTCTTATATCCGTTGCATCAATTTTCAACTGAGTTAAAACTAACTTTGTTCTGAAGGATGATCTTTTGTGGGAATATATACTGAAGGCTTCTTTACACAAGTTCTGTTTCCACTGTCCGTGTGAAAATTGGCAAAGTTATTTTCATTATGTGAAGGCAAACCTTTTAGAAATTCAGCAACAGACTACAAACAAAAATTCAATTATTATAACATTATTTAACACTGACTCCTTAAAAAAATTTTCAAAAAAAACACATCCATTGGTAGCTTAATATAGTGATTTTTTCTAATAATTACATAGGTATAAACAGTTAAATGAAACATTTATCAGCTAGATTTATCATTTTATTATTTATTGTATATGTACAAAAGGCTAAAGATGAAGCATCATTTTATTAACAAAAATAAGGAAATTGTACAGAATATATGAGAAACAATCACTTTTGAAAACTGGGGAACCATTTACAGTAAAATTATTATTTTCTTTCGTAATATTTCAAGACACACATAACCTAAACAGATAACTCGCAGTAAAGTAAACGTAATTGGAACATATAAATAAGAAGTAAATTTTACCATTTTTATATGTATAAATATATCCACTCAACAGTCCTTTGAAATGTTTATACACCTCCGAGAAATTATTAATCCTCAAAAATTGAAATGAAAGCAACTTCCATCACTTCTCCAAACAACCACAGACTCGGAAATATGTAGAGTCTATTCTTCCTGTCAGTTAGTGACGTAAAAGGTGGTTATGACAATTTAAATGATAAAATAAATAATTTAAAAAAATATATCAACTTCTGTTTTATTTGTCGATATATCAATTTTTTATAAAAATTGTCTGCAACAATAATTATGATTTATTGACTGCTAATAGCATTGTACTGAAAGTATCATTAACACTCAAATTTGTACATAAAACTTATTTTATAAGCGTTCTGACACTATTGTGTGACAATTTAGAAATAATATTAATTGTTACACATTTTATTACTTTTATTACTTGTCACTTTTATACTTATAAAAGAACGCGAATGATGTAAACAATGTCACATTTGACATTTCTTAGATGTAAACATAACCTTATGAAATCAAAAATAATAGAATGAAATTATTTTATTTATTAATAACAGTAATATAATGTATAAAAAAATATGGAAAAACTTAAGACAAGTTGATGATACATTTGAACTTGAACCAGAGACAATTAAAAGAACACAATGTTTTTTAAGAGTTAATTTTACACACACTGCATTTAATTGTAATGAAGAATGTTGTGTTGCAACTGATACAGCAGGATATTTATATTATATCGACTTAATAAGTAGTTGTCCTTCTTATCAGAAATTGGGAAATATTGGAAAAACTACTTTTATAGGATTTAATCCTATCAATAACTCTGAAATACTAGTTGGCCTGACCACGGGTGATATTAAAATTTTAAGAGTAAATGTAAATGTTTCCCAGCATTGTTTATTGATTGCACATAAGTTACCACCTATACATGTTTCCTTTTATAAGAAGTATTGCTTAACTTCTTCACAAAAAGAAGTTATAATATGGTGTTTACATTCTTTTACCAAGGCTCAACAATTAAAAATTAATATAAAAAATGTTGTGTTAAAAAAAGCCAGTTTCTCAAATTTAGGACACATTGTTGTGCTATATCATAATGATACATTACAAGTTTGGAACTTTAATCAATTGGAAAATGATACTAAAATTGATGCAAAAATATATGGAATACGGAACATTAGAGATTTTATTTTCACACAGAATGGAAGAGCAATGATCATAACTAGTGCTCAGAATAAAATCACTATTCTGAATACATGTAACTGGAATTTAATGAAAACTTTGAAATTGCCAGAGAACTTTATTAATATGAAGCATATGTCAATTGTACCTCACCCCTTAGATGGTGGAGCAAATAACATAGTAGCATGTCTCTCCTCAAGTTTTGATCTTTATTTCTTTGATATAAATCAATCTTGTACAATAGAAACTTTGCATCCTATTAAACCCATTAAAAAAATTGTAGTTTCTCCAACTGGTAGATACATAGCATATATAGAAAAAGAAGGACATTTAAAATTAACAGTTACTGAAAAATTATTTTCAGAAAAGTGTGAATCCTTACAAAAATTGAAAGAACCATGTAGACCAGTTGCACATAAAGTAGATGATCATTTATTATGGGTTAGAGAAAACATAAAAGAAGAACTACGTTTAGAAAGACTAATGCTCATTTTGAAAGAATTTGGAGAATATCCTGAAAAATACCGTGTATTAATATGGTCAACTATTTTGGAACTACCAGCTAATAAAAATGCATATAATAATCTAGCTAATAAGGCTGCAAATTCGAATTTTATATCAGAATTTTTGAAGAACTATCCATTAGCTGATAAAAGTAAAAAGATATTACTAATCACAACAATAAATTGCTTAATACAGTGGTGTCCTTTATTAGTACAGTGTTCATTTCTACCAAACTTAGTTTTTCCATTTCTGATGGTCTTCCAGGTAATAAAATTATTAACTTTTACTCAACGTTTAAAACGTTAAACTTTGGATCTTCTTACAATGGATTCTTTATTTCTATTGCAGAAAGATCTTCTACTTGGTTTTGAACTCATTCTTGGTGTGTTACTAAATTACTGTCAAAAGTGGTTTGAGTATCATCCTTTACCACCTTTAAATGTACTGGGTATAATAGAAAATATTCTTTTGCATACAAATCCAGGTTTAATAAATATTTTTTGTGAACGAGGAATAACATCTACTGAATATGCATGGCCACTTTTGAAGACTGCAATGAGCGAAGTTTTATCTGGTTCTGAATGGTTAATTTTATTGGATCATTTAATATCATTTAAAAAGCCTTCGCTTTTATTATTCAGCGTTGCTGCATACAGTATCTGTTCTCACGAATTGATACTTTCGTCATTGCATACACAAGAAAATATTAGGCGATATTTTACTAGTCAGGGTCATATTACTGCCAAAGAATTGATAAATGTTGCTCAGCAGCTTGATAAAAATGTACCATCAAGAATTCATCCCAGTTACTATCTTAAGTAAAGTATTATCTGTTATTATGTAATTATTAAATCTAATACAAGATAATGTAATAGGTATTGTATTTTTTTATAGAGACGAAATAATTACATTATCTTCCAAAGGACCATATCAGCCATTTATACATGATTTCCCGAAATTTTTAACTGACGACCTTTCAATTGCTGAATTGGAAAAATTGAAAGAAAAAGAGCGAATCGAGCGTGAGCGTGATCGCAAAGAAATGGAAACGGCAGAGGAAAACCGATTAAAACATGAAACAAAAGCTTTTATGAATCAAATTCATCAAATGAGATTAAAAGGTAAGACTTTGTACATTCTATTGGCGAAGTTAGACAACATAGAGATCATAAATGTTTAAATTCATTGCTGTTTTAGAAGCAGAAAAATGTACCAGAGAACAGTTGTCTGATATAATCTGGAGAACAGAGGGACATCATTCAAAAGCACAAGGACCAGTGGACACTTGTCTTTGTGATCATTTAAATGATGTGCCAGATTTAGATCTAGACACTGCAGATGATGAAGATAAAGAAGACAAAGCAAAACACTATGAGCAATTGCAGCAAAATGTAGACAAATTAGAATACGAAGTACAAAGTTTTTTAAACTCATTAAGATCTCAAAAATCAAGGGTAAAGAGTACCTGATATATTTTATAGTTATTTTAAGTGGAATGATACTTTTTATATCTTATTTATGAAAATTAAATTTTTTTATCTAATAAATATCATGGCATGCGGTATGATAATGTTTAAAGTATAATAAAAATATTAATGAAAACTACAATCTGTATAATTTTATTATAAAATTTATGTACAATATTTACAATCTGTAAATATCATAAAATATCTTTGAACATAGAATTATAAAACAATAAAATTTTGTATGTATATATAAACTTTATAAAAATATAAATTTCTTTATTTGAGTGCTCAACACTAAAAATGCTGATAGTATTGTACTGTACACTGTACAAAGTTTTGGTTTAAAATTATACTTTTAACATTGTCTCAAGGTAAAGACTAGTCATACTGAATAAATGAATGAACAGGAACACCAACCTTGTCTCTTCCATTTAAATTAGTTAGTTCAATTATTACTAAGCATTCAATCACCTCAGCTTCAGCAGATTTTACCAATTCTACTGCAGCTGTCATGGAACCTATGATGATATTTATAAAAGTTTATTGATTAATCTTATTTATACTAGCTTAAATAAATTGTATCATTAGTATCTTACCTCCTGTGGCTAACAGATCATCTACAATGATCACCCGTGCCCCTTTATTTATATAATCCTTTTGTATTTCAAAGGTATCCTATGTAAACAAAATGTTCTAATAATATTAAAGGTAAAAATGTCATAAATTAATATTATTGTTACACAGTCTAACCTCCCCATATTCAAGAGTATAAGGTTTTTGTAAAACCTCCCCTGGGAGTTTGCCTTTCTTCCTAATAGGTACAAAAGGCTTGCCCATTTCCATGCATATAATGGGTCCAAAGAGGAAACCTCTTGAATCAAGACCTATAATCAAATCAACTTCAAGGAATAAAATATGTTCTACTATTAAATCCCTCATTGCTCTCAATGCTGCTACATTGTGGAAGACACCAAATATATCTCTGAAAATAATTAACTTTTAAAATATGATAAATATGATCCCAACAATATTGGTTATGTCGCTTGTACCTTAGCTGTAATAGTTTATAGAATTGATTTAATGAAAATAAACGAATATATTACTTACCGAAATATAATACCAGGTTTAGGAAAGTCAGGATAACTTCTGATTGCATTCCGCAACAATTGAATTTTATCCTTCTTATTCATTCTTGATAATAATAGATGACTTCCAACTATTATCTTAGAAACAGAAATATATAAATTTTATTCTTGCTAAACATATAAAAATGTATGTTGAAAAAACAAGCATAGACTTACCGTCACAACATGTAGGAAACTGATAAATTCTAATAAATAAAGCAGAAATTTGTATTCAACTTTTAATTTAGGAAATCACGTGTACGCTAGCGCGCTAAATTGATGAGGTCGTCCTCTTGCGTGAAAAATTGTAAATCATTTCTTGATTCAAGGTTACCATACAAAGATAAATTCTGAATAAGTAACTTTTAATTGCACTGAACATTCATACTTATCTAATAATTAATTACTGCTATATATTTTACAATGAAAATCCTAAATTATTCATGGTTCTAAAAACTATTTACACAATGTGAACACATTCTAAAATTAATGATATATTACAGTAAAAATTTTTTAGTAAAGCGCCTATACAATGTAAAAATAAGATAAAACAATTCTAACTCTTAAATTCTAGAAAAATATTTACAATGCATTAATACAGTTTGTCTTTTTCCTCATATACTAACAACTTAAACAATTTACGATGGCAGTGTAAAAACTGGGTACTTTGAAACATTAATCACTGTAGCAATCCATTTATACCATTCTTATCAACTTTTTAAAGATAATCCCATACAGCGAATGACTTATTAAGATTATCTCTAAACAAGTAGTTTATCGTAAGTTCGTATATTTGAAGAATTTATTAATCCTTACGACTTACTAATATTTATTATTATATTTAAAAAATATCGATTTTATGACTAGTAGTTCACGAAGACGATGATATACAAATAAAACCGATAAAAAGTACTTGAATATTACAAGAAAAACATCGTTCAACTTCAATAGTCTTAAATAATCAACAAAAATAAGTTGTATTATTTACAAAATAAGAAACATTGATAATTATTTGATGGCATGTAAAAGTTAAACCTTCGTTGTGGCTAGTAATTTAATATAATGCGCTTTATGAGTTATTTCAAATTCCTGAGCAGGTAAAAAGCACTGTGTCTGTATTCTAGGATGTTTCACTCTCTTTATAACGCTTCTACCAATTACCGCAAGAGTAATTAGAAGAGCGCAACCAGCCCCGATGATCGCTAAAACAATGATCTCGGTATTTTGCTTGAATCCTTGTACCTCGACGCAGCGTAATCTATCACGATCGTCTACAAAGTTTGCGATAACATCATCCTCGTTGACTTCGTCTAAACTTGCGCAAACTTTGTAACGACCAGGCAACAATACCGCCAATGTAACAAACGTTAGCGTACAATTCAGCTTCTGTTTGTGCACCGCGGATTCAGCATCGAAGACGACAACAGACAATTCGCATTCAGGTATATTCGATTTCTTCGAGTTTGATAAGCTAACATCGACGTGTAGAAAACCTTGATCAGATACATTAACATGTACCCCAGTTATCTTAGTATCCGAAGTTGAAGACGGCAGCTTTGATATCGTAGTCTGTTGATCCTGCTGTAAATCTCTTTTAGTTTCTTCAAGGGTGATCACGTCACTGCAGCCCAAGCCTAAGGAAACCTCTTCATAAGTGCTCGGTACAAGTAGTACTACACAGTAACGGTATTTATGACCCGGTTGTAAATGTAACGAGGCCGGTATCGCCACAGGTAACGAACAGGGATTTCTCATCATACGTGAATCACAATGCAGAGAACTGGAGTCCGTCTGGACTTCACTGTCGCCTACAGTTTCATAAACAATCAGAGTGTCGCACGTGTATCGCTCTGTGCATGGTTCCACGTGCCACAAAAGATTGATACCGGTAGATTTATCGTAATGAAATTCTTTCAATGTTAACTGAGCACCGGCCAAAGGTACCCTGGTCATGATCGGCGGTGTTGGTTCACCGCACAACAGACTGCCAGGAGAAACTTGCGTCAGTATACCGTTTTCCAAGGCTGGAGGTGTCGCACATACAGCGGAAGACTTATCCTCCTCGTTCAAACTAGAATTACTTAACCAGTTGGCGAATTCTAGCAGCGTGCAATCACAGTTCAAAGGATTGTCAGCCAAGGAGAGCCTTTTCAGTCGCAATTTCGAGGTAGGTACATCACTGGATACCATTGTGATATCGTTATCGTCAAGGCGAAGATCTTGAAGACTCTTTAAAGGTACCACTAGATCGGCGGTTAGAGATCGCAGAAAATTATGGGTCAAATCCAATATGGTTAATTTTTCTAGATGCGCCAGAGAAGAGCTGGATACCGCGACGATCCGATTATTTGCTAAATCCAGCCTCGTTAGGGTCGATAAATATTTGAACGAATGATCTTCCAGCACGTCGATCTATTGAAGAAGAAAAAACAAGATAATTTTTGAATTTACTTTATGTTTACTCGATCCTCGTGAAACTTAGATACGTTACCTGATTGTGGCTCAAGCTGAGATAAGTTAAGTTTCTTAATCCTACTAGAGCTCCTTGCTGAACATTTATCAGCTCGTTTTCAGAGACCGTGAGTAAACGTAACCGCGGCATCTGAGGAAGAAGATTCGGCCCCATAGGACCTAGCAACAAGTTATTGGATAAATCAAGCTCCTCCAATATTTTCAGACCCCTCAATGCTGACAATGCCGACACGCTTAAACGATTGCCACGCATTCTCAGAGAACGTAACGAGGGCAACGAGGCGAAAGCTTGCGGTGATAATTGAGACAATAAATTATCGCATAAATCCAAGTACGTCAAATTTGACAAGCCCTGAAACATTGAAACGTGCGTTATTAGAAATGAATGATGGTTCGCGAGAAAGCTGAACTTGTATGTCAGCACCGATTCGGCTGAACATTCAATGGTAAACAGTTCTATTATAGCTACGTCCATTGTTCCATTAAAGAAAATTACAAGTATCATTAATCTATGCGTAGGAGAAAGTTTACTGTTAAGTATCGCTACCTTTGATTCAAGATATTACCTTGAACGAGTCAGCTTCTAACGTTTTCAGTTTATTCTGTGACAGATCCAATTTTTCCAATCCAATCAGATCCGACAGAGCAGCTGTTGGAACGGAATCCAACAGATTATTCGGCAATCCAAGTGCCTGAAGGGGTCTTATCAGACCAATGAAAGCATTTTCATGGACACGTCTCAACTCTCCTGTGGATACCACGAGTCCATGGAGGGCGATATTTTCCAAAAAACGAGCTGGTAATAGAGAGATCCCAGACACTGTTACATCCAACAGAGATATTGTTCCTGGACGACTGTATCTCAGATATCTACTGATGGTCTGCAGAAAAATACATCAATAATAAATTTCATCTATTTCACAAATTGCTCTTGGATGTAATATTGGACTACAAGTTTAATTAGTCATCTCGAATTGCATAATGCAAGTTATTCGATTCGCGGTGGTATTGTACGACAGGATATTCGTCGGAGTAACTGGTAACGGGACATTCAACGCAAAGCAGCGAGCGTGTAGAAGACAGAAGAAAGAGAGGCCGCACAATGGTCTGTTGGACAATACACATACGACTTGTATTTCATTGGCAGTCTATACGCCCACGCTTCTTGTTGGCGGGTGGTTAAAAAATCACTGACCTCGATAATGTAACAAAATGATAACTCTCGGATAAACTTGATTAATCGTCGTACAACGAAAACAATTATCATTGAAGTTCACTAATTTTCTAGCAAAAATATGGTACACTAATGAACATACAGGCTCTGGTTGCATCAACAAATTCATGAACCACGTTTATACATTTAGATGTTTAGAAGAAAACGTTTCGGGCATTGAAGATTACCTGTAACGCGGTTCTATCACCGGTACATCTTAGCGTGTGTGGAAAGTCGCAAGAGCACTCGACGCCTGCTTTTGTAATATTTGGACACTCCCAAACGGTGTCAGACGAAGGCGAGGATGCGTGGGACGAGTCTTGAATAGTTTCTTCGTCCGGATTTTTTACAATGTTCGACGAATTCACCGCCGTTGCCGTCGTCCTCTCCGAGCTTGGCATCGTTGTGAACGACACCGTGGAAGAGTTCATTGATACAACGCTGGTCGTCGTCGTTTCATCCTCCAAAAAATCCTCCATCATCGCGTCCAGAGACGCAATCGTTGTTAGCAACAGGATCAACGAACATCCAGACTTCCACAGCATTCTGAAATAACAGTATTCATTGATGAGAAACGTATAATAAATAAAATCATGATTTATCTGAACACCAGCGATAATGCAACAAGTGGCCGATTGAATTTTGTCACTTCAACATCGGTATCCCACTTTCAACTAACCCAAATTTTAGGCCCTTCGATCATTTGAAAATTCTCAAGTTTCATTACCTACGCAAATGGCCAAGTAATTCATAATCATCCGAAAAATCAATGTCGCATGCTTATTACAACGAACTATGGCTCATCACGAGAAACGATTTGGAGAAACTCCTGTTGCTCGATCGAAGATTGCAACGGGAACGAAGAACGGGAATAAAAGAGCAGGGCTTGAATCTTCTAGTTCCAACTTATCTTAGGTACCATACAGTATACTAACAGAGGTCCTTTCGATCTGAAATATAAATTGTTTTATCAGATATCGTAATTTGGTGAAGAGGCTGATAGTGTGCCATGATCAGATGGTGCAATCGCAGAAACGAGACTTGATAAAACGTGTCCTGGATTGTTCAATTGGCCGAATGCTGGAGTATAAAAGGGAGATCGTTAAACTAAACTGTTCAGAATATTTGTATGTTCGTCAACATCTTATCCATCTAGACTCAGGCTGTAAATTAAAAACAAATGTTATAGATGGCCTGATGACTTCATGAGGCAATTCAAGTACACCCCCGACGATGTAGAAATATTCGTTTCAGCGACTGCCAAAGATCTTATTCAGCAGCGTAGAAAATACATAGAAGAATTAATAGAAAATGCTTTCATAGGTAATTTACTCGAATGGTATCTTTTCTACGGTACGAATTAATTAAAGCGATCAAACGTTATCTCTTGATAAGTGCAAAAAGTAAAAGAACAAGAAGAAGTTGATAGTGTAAGCGTAAGCATCAGTGAAGCTGGAAGTATCGTCGGGTCCCAGGAAAGCGTATCAAAATCTCGAAGAAGAAGACTACAAGAGAAAGCTTCCACGGTATCTAAAGTACCATCCATTCTTCAAGAATGTCCGGAAGTGGTAGCAGCTCGGGAAGCTCGAATCGCAGCCGAAAAAGCTATGCAAGATGCGATACTGCTTATACAGTGT